TTACAGGTCGGCTCTCCTAATTCATATGTGAAAGCCGTGGAGACGCTGCATACGCGCTTTCGTCATCAATCGGATTCGGGTCGGTCAATGTAAGTGACCCAATACGATCCGGAAAGTTAGCCTTCTGGGCCTGAACGAAGCCCTGTATCCATTCAAGGCCCAATAATGGCACAAAATTTTCGTCTTTGCGTATGACAACATTAGTACTAAGATTTGTGTTTAATAAGGTAGAAATTATTAATCAAACAAGATATTTTATATCAAAAGGAGAAAAATAAATTACTTTACTTATTTACCAAAGTTACCTTCTTTACTCCTGATTATTACTACTTACTACTATGAATTTTATCAAAACATCCTCCAAAGGGTGGATTAATTCAAAAAAAATTGAACGAGGTAGGAGGTGAATCCATTAACTGATCAAATACTATTAAAAATAAAAAATAACTTTTGTCATACAAAAACAATAATTTGTTTGCAATAAGTTTTGCATTATAAGTCACTGTATACAGTAATTTCAAAGTCCAAATTCACCAACTCCAAGGTTTGTCATACACTTGTAGGCCAAAAAAGTTTGATGCTAATGTATTTTAATACATGCTCTAATTATTTTCCCACCCTTCCTCTATTTAGAGCCTGTTTGGCTCAGCTTAAAAGCTGGTCAAACTGATTTAAAAGCTGGTTTTTGACTTATTTAACTGTTTGACAATACTCAAAATAGCTCATTTTAAGTTAAAAAAACTTATTTTAAGCCAAAAGTTAAAAGTTGGGGTACGGGTGCTTTTTTTTTTTTTAGCTTATAAGCTGTTTTAAGTTGACCACATCTTTATGTTTTTTCCCTTAATATTTTTATACAATCTCCAAATTACCCATATAACCCTAACATCTCTTTCTTCTATTTTTCCCTTTTCACGTTTGACATAACAACTTCAGCACTTTTATCCAAACGCATCACTGCTTATTTTAAAAATAAATTTCAGCACTTTCAAAAGTACTTTTTTAAAGCTGCTTTTATTAAGCCCATCCAAACGGGCCCTTAGTGTGTTGTTCACTTCTAATTAACAAAATCAAGAGACAAGATGCACATGCAATCATGCACGAGACATCATTGGAAAAAATTCATGGAATTTATAAAACATAATAAACAGACGTGGAGTGACTATGAAACATCATTGGTCAAATTTTAATTTATCAACATTTTTTTTTTTTAAAAAAAAAAGCAATTCAATTGAAGAGCGCAAAAAAGGGTAACATTTGACTTGACAAAATTCACATCCTTCTTGGTCTTAAAGTCAATAATAGCTCTTCCATATCAATAAATAAATAAATAAATAAAGTCCCTTGCCCATTTGTAAAGTGGAAATTCCTTTGCTTTTATAAAGTTTCTTCTAAAGCATAAATGCTCTCTCGTATATTATTTATTATATACAGTGTTATATCTATATTTTCTTTAATTTTTAGCTTGGTGTAAAGGACCACAACATCCATAATAAAAAAGGAAATATTATTATTAATCGTCAAATATGGTAGATCAGATTAATATTACTAATAAATATTTTGTTCCAGATGTCAAGCGTAAAATTGTTATTACTACCTTTAATCAAAATAAATTGGTAGGTAAGTAATTATTATATATTTCATGAAGCAAATGCGAGCCAGTTAAGGCTCATAAATTATCAAAGTATAAGCAACGTGCGTAAAGTTTTATATATGTATACTCATGTCAATCAATAATTATTTACTAGCTCTATAGCATAACAAATTTTTATTGCATGAGTATTAATTAAGCAATAATGAATAATACAATTTTTGACAAAATTTTCCAAGCTGAGGGAATGAAATTTTGTCTCTTTACATGCTTCTTCATAATTATATCACCCCATGAACTGATTTTTTTATACTGAATTATTAATTTCACAATTTTATTTTCTTAATATGATATTACTAGATTCAACTTTATTATTAGTCTATGCAATATCAGATCTTATAGTTTAGTACGAATTTTTTATTAGATTTATTTTGTTAAATATTTCATTAGTTTATTTTTACTTGTTACTCTTTATCTTAACACACTCATTAAGAAAGTAATTTATCAAATTATTCCTATTAATTGATGTGTATACTGAAGTATTTGATCTTGGGAAATATTTTGAGAATAAGTATTTAATACTAAGGGTAAAAATATGAAAAAAATAATTATGTCAAAAATAACAAGTAAAAGTAAAAATTTATTTTATAAATAAAGTGATACATAAAAGTGAATTAAAGAGTAGATTTGATATTCATTTTGTTAATATAGTTTATGGTCATACTTTTCTCGAGAAGCCAACACAAAAATCTAATCCCACAATAAAGTTTCAATTTTCAACCAATATTTCAATTGGAACCAATTAATTGTCGATTGAATTAAAACAGATTGTGGTGGTTTTGAAAAAGGTTAATGTCCCACAATTATTATGAAAATGAATTGTCATTTGTCGTGGTAGAATAGATTAATTTATTAGTAAATATGATACACGACAAAGTCAAAAAGGATCTCTCTATTTTAGTGGTTGTTATGTTAACTAATTGAACATTTTTGCTTTTCAAAATTAAGGAGGATTATTTTGTGACATTTACGTGAATATATTAAAAGCAAATTAAAGACAAAAGGGTTAAGGACCATCCATAATATATATATATGAACTTTACTTGTCAATAATTGTTAGATGACATAATTAATGAGACTTTAAGAATTCTTGATGGAGACTTTACTACGAAAATTAATTTTCAAGACTGATTAAACGAACTTATAATACAACTAGGAGAAAAGAAAATATGATTCATCAGGTCAATTTTCTTACACATAATAATAACATAATATTAATAAATAAATTATTGAATTCTCGATGCATATATTATATAAATTAATCCTCATATTCCAAAGATTATAAGTGTAATAAAAACATTCATTGATATATAATCCTCTAAAATGATTAATTATTCCATAATTATTGGGAACGAATTAAATCAAATAGTTTTATTTCTTATTTTTTTTTCTGAATAATAATTACTAAGGGGCGTTCGGTAGGCTGTATTTAAAAAAATAATTCATATATTAGATGTGATATAATTTAATACTGTGTTTGGTAGGAATGTGAGCCTATGTATAACTAATCCATGGATTAGTTAATACATCCTACATGATATTATGTGATGTATTACTAATACCTTCCATTTGGAGGTATTAGCTCTAATAGCTGAGACTAATCTTAAAGTAAAGACAAAAATACCCCTCAAATCCTTTTAATATTTTATTTATTTTTTTGATTTTATATTTTATATTTATACTAATAAAGTTATTTAAATAAATTAGCTTACAAATTGTATTATTTAGATAATAATTTTTTGTTTCTAAAATATGAATGACTTAATCTATTTATTATTAATATAAAATATTATAATCCGACTAATATGTTAACAATTCATAAGTAAAATATTGTCTCTTAATGAAAGTTTATTAAACATTACACAAGTAGTCTAAAACAAGAGATGTGTATATATATATACACACATATCGAGTATAAAAATAGTTTAATTTATTTTTCTATATTTTTATTTTATTTTATGATAAAGAGTTTTTTAAAATTTATTGATACAAAACAAAGTTCAATAAATTTTCTCTATAATCATTATAGTTGTGTGACTTTTTGAGTTATTAACTCTAATTTTTTAAGATGACAATTATTTACTCTCAAATAATTTAAGTGAGAAAATAGTGAACATGACAATAAAAATTTTATTCTCCTAACTAGTTAAAAATGTTATAAAGAAAATAATATTCTCCGTTAATTATCTGCTTTGACTCAATTACATGAAATACAAAATCTCATAATAACTCTAAGGTATAATTGAAAAGTTTTTTTAAAAAACTTTTAAACCACATACAAAATTATATAAGAAACAATGAATCAAACACTTTATAAAAATAATCTCTGCATTATTCATTTTTTAATCAAACGACCCCTAACAGTATTCGGTAAATGCTAATAGTGATTAAAAAAAAAAAGGGAAAAGAAGAAGAATGATGAGACTACACGAGTGTTGTTTCTTCTTGGAGGTTTCACTCAACTTGCAAGGGTGTCATATCAATGCCTTAACACTTTTTAGACTTTTAATATCATAAAGTTTAATTGCTGTTTTTTCTATGAAAGGAGCAACTTCATGTGCTATCTTTAATCATCAAGAATGTACCAAAAAAAAATATAGTCATAAAGACACCAATATATCTCTTTCATTCTCATCTCTTTGCACCAATTGCATTACCTCTCACCCCATAAAATAATTGCTCTTCCTTTTAAATACTTTATTATTTTTTCGATTCACTTTTTAATTATTTATTATTTTAAGAACAAGATAAATTTTTTCATGTTATTATATTTCCTCAATATGAATTACTTATTTTCAATGACAAGTAAAATTAAAAATAGAAGTTCAAAAAGTTACTTTTGTTCATAGTTCTTTTTTCATATTTGTCAACGTATAATTTGCTTGTCCTCCGTCACATAGTTCTTAAAAGTTACTTATTCATTACTACTTATTTTTTAGTTTCTCAAAATTGAAGTGTAAATTACAAGTTAGACAAGTTCTTAATTTCCAATATTTATAACTTAAAAAGAGTCTTATATCATGAATTCCTGGTCATTATACGATCCTTTTAAGTTTGAGTTTAGTAGCCACTCTTTGATCAAAATTAACAAAATTCAATTTATAATTGTAACATAATAACGAAAAAAGAAATCTACCTTCAAACTTAGGACCCTATTTACGTAATTGAGATTTTTATATTTATGTCATAGTCCGATCAAATTTAATATTTAATATCGAAAACAAATCTGTATTTTATACATTTTTTATTAAAAATGAGAAGTATTCACCCTCCAATAATGTAATGATCCTGCTTAAAAAGTAAAAACTCAAGACCGTAATTTGAGTTAAAAGCTCAATTCCAATATGTTCCAAATCCTAAATCTTAATAGGAGCCATTTGATTAAAAAACAAAAATGGTTGGAAAAAGAAAATACGAGTACAGAGCTCTCAGTACTAAACATCCAATTTTCTGTTTCACTATCAGCTTCCTCTCTCCAAATCTCAGTCTGTCATAATGAAGATGTACACTTTTGCTCATCTCCTCAACAGGCTCAAAGTTGAATTTTTGAAACCTTTTGTTTTCATTCATATTTGAACCTCAAAGATTGAATCTTGAAACTTCTTTTTTTTTTTCTTCATTGAAATGGGTACTAGCAAGCAAAGATGGAGAATTTCATTTCACAAGTCTCCATCAAAACAACCTCCTATTCCTATAGAATTTGTCTGTCCTATTTCTGGTTCTCTCATGGCTGACCCTGTAATCGTTTCTTCAGGCCATACTTTTGAGCGTCATTGTGTTCATGCCTGCAAATCACTTTCTTTTACCCCTGTTCTTCCTGATGGCTCTGTTCCTGATTTCTCTACTGTGATCCCTAACTTAGCTCTCAAGTCTACAATCCTCAATTTTTGCCGTTCTTCTTTTCTTGACCCACCAAAACCCATCAATTTTCTCACAGCTGAAAATCTCGTTTTCACATTGAAGGCCACCCGAAAACCCCAAGATGCTACAAGATTTAATGGCGTCCGGGTTATGCAGACGGAAACTGAACTGAACCGGGTACCGAGTCACATATCAATGAGTTCAGAGGAATCTGTGACTCCTAGAAGTGGACCCACTTATTACTCTTCGTCGTCAGCCTCTGACTTTGAAACCCTAAACCCAAATTCCTTTGAAGAAGATGAACTACTTGTGAAATTGAAGAGTTCCCAAATATCTGAACAAGAAGAAGCTGTCATCTCGTTTCGAAAATTGACCCGAACCCGTGAAGAAACCCGGTTCCAGTTATGCACTCCGCGTATACTTTCAGCTCTACGTGTACTCATCACTTCAAGGTATGTTTCTGTACAAGTAAATTCAGTAGCGGCATTGGTAAATTTGTCGTTAGAGAATCGAAACAAGGTGAAAATTTTACGGTCTGGAATTGTTCCGTCTTTGATTGACGTGTTGAAAAGTGGATTCCAAGAATCACAGGAACATGTTGCTGGTGCACTTTTCAGTTTAGCGTTAGATGATCAGAACAAAACTGCAATTGGGGTATTAGGAGCTCTGCCTCCACTTCTTCATGCCCTTCGATCTGAATCGGAACGAACTAGGCATGATTCGGCTCTGGCTCTATATCACCTCACTTTAGTTCAGAGTAACAGGGCTAAATTGGTGAAACTCGGGGCGGTTCAGGCATTACTAGGCATGGTTAAAACGGGTCATATGATGGGTCGGATTCTGTTGATACTTTGTAACCTGGCTGCGAGCTCTGAAGGGAGAGCAGCAATGCTTGATGGGGGTGCAGTGGAGTGTTTTGTATGTATGTTGAGAAAGGGAGAGTTTGAATCGGAGTCGACTCGTGAGAATTGTCTTGCTGCATTATATGGACTTAGTCATGGTGGCCTTAGGTTTAAAGGGTTGGCAAAAGAGGCTGCTGCGGAGGAGCTGTTGATACAAGTTGAGGAAATGGGAAGTGAAAGGGCCAAGGATAAAGTTAGAAAGATATTGGAGGTTTTGAGGCAGAAGGATGAAGAGGAGGAAGTTGATTGGGAGAAGTTGCTTAATTCGGATGATGATATCAGTCAAGCACGGATAAGTTCTTCATAGCTCTTGTTTGTTTCTGTTTCTTCACTGTATGCTATTTCATTCCTTTTTCTGAGAAATGGCTTGTAATTAGGCACGGTTTTCTCTTTGCATAGCTTCGGATAGCATGATTTTGGTTTTGGTTTTGCTCGTCGTGTCTTCTGAGGTCATGTGACAGTTGACATGGTAAATAATGTTGGAGGTGTAAAGAAAGATTCTGAACAGTGTGTTTTAGTTTTTGGAGAAAAGAGGCTGTCTTTAACATGAACTCATTGTCTCCTAATACTCTTCAAGCAATGCTATTTTCACTTTCTTGTGTGCCTGAGGCTTATTCTATGCACTGTTCGTGGCTTCCACAAGCCGCTGTCTAGTAATTTGGTATTTATGCTGGAGTTGATTGATTGCTGCAACTGCGGAAGTTGTTAGAGAATTGTTATTCTCATGTTTCTTTAAGGTCTGCATTGCAATAAACATTGCTGCAGAGCAAATGCAATGAACTCCAGAGTTGTTTTTCATTTTTGAGCATCTTGATGCTCAAACAGTGAAAGCAAGAATGAAGAGAGTGTACCATTGACACAATCTTTACTCTGATGTGATGTGTGGTGCTACTGGGAAGGTTACAATTTCTGCACTAAAATTTTTACACTGGACTTTTAGTGCATGAGCAATAGCTACAATTGCTCAAGTATTTTTACACTGGGATAAGTTAATGTATAACTTCTGAACCCTGCTTAGCCCTTCCATTCTCTTTTATTTCCTTAATGCTGACTTTTACATGCCAACAATTTTGAAAGATTTTTCATTACAGATTGTATTGTCATTTTTTTCGTTTCAATTACTTGGTTCGATTGATGAAAGATATGAACAGGCCCTGCTATTTATGCCTTATATCTTCAATTGATATGTTTGTCTGAGTGAGATGGTTGATCTTCATCTTTAAAAGATTGACCTTACAACTGTGTGCTGTGCTTCTCCTTCTGAAATATCTCCATGCTATTTAGGATTTTTGTGCGAACTTTACTTAACCATTGACAAATGTTCTAATTTTCTACTAAGTATGAGTTCAACATTTAAGGTTCTTCGCATTGAACCCACAATATTTTTTTAAGTGATGTCTTCATATCTCCTAGTTTTTGCAATTTTCGTGAATTTTTTCAGATAAATTTATGTTTCATGTTGAAATTAATGATTCCTTTTCATTTAGCTTTTTGGAAAGAAAAAGAGTTAAAACTAATTTATCTTTCTTTAAGTCATATATCGAATCAACACCAAAATGAATTTGATTTGGACACCTCTACAAGAATCAATGCGAAACGCGTTATGTTATTGTTCATTTAGTAAGTTAACTTGAGTTGGCAATGCCCTTGCCAAGGAGACAGAGACCGGAAAACACGATTCCACCTTTTCCAACACTTGCTCACAAACAACAAAGCAATCAAACATTTTCAACACTTGTTAGTTCCAAAAGGAAACGAACCAAATGCAAACTGGAAATATTTCAAACTAGCTGCAAAAGGAAGAAAAAGTAGCAAACTTTATTTACGGTTTCATTTCTTATTGAATCAAATTCGACGAACAAACAGCCTCTTACCTGCATCTCAACACACACTAATCACAAGTAGTAGTAGTAGTAGTTGTTCTAAAAGCAGAACTGAAGCAGAGCCTTGTAATCTTAATAAAAATGATAGTAAAAAACATTGTATACATATTATAAGTTTTACTTTCGTCTTGTGAGTGATTAAATTCAACAAAAAATTCGAACGTACAGTAACATAATCAATACCCCTCAAATAGTTTAATTGTTGAAAGCATCACATCTGTGTCTGATCTCACCACTTCTCCCAATTTTAACACCATGATCACTTAGCTTCTGCATTGCTGAAGCAAACGCCTTAAAGAATGCATTTTGATCTCTAATATACTCTTCAACATGAACTCTTGTCCTCGGATCTGAAAACAGACCCCGGTCCGAAGACAACAGACCCAAACCCTTGGGTAAGTTCTGGTAATACATGTTGTCAAACTTATTCGGAGTCATGATGTCGTTGAAAACGGACAATGTTGGATCTTTCTGGAAATTATTACAAGCATTTCTCAAAGCTTGAGCAAATCTGGGATTGTAAGAAGGATCATATTGGGAAGTTTTGTTGTAATTGTAAAGATTTGAGCTGAACTCTTTACAATGGGAAAACCCAATTGTGTGAGCACCGGATAACGCTACCATTTCCGGTACCGAAAACCCTCTTGACCCGAAAATTTGTATGATTTGATCCATCGACATTGTGGGTCGGGGCAGATTTCCTTCAACCAACGAAGCTTTAGAAGTAAAAGAATCTTTACGGCCCAAATTAACTGGATAAAACGGGCCTCCGGTTTGAACAACGAGATTCCGGGCAGCGACGGCGAGAATGTCGGAGCAAGAGACAACGCCGGGGCAAGCAAGTTCAAGCGCCGTTTTGGCGCGTACGACTACATCGAACCCATCGCCGGGGAGTGATAGGTTGATTTCTGCGTCACGTTCAGCTTTGTTGAAAGGAGTGGAGGAGACGAGGATGGACGCGTCGCAGCCGCCGACGAAGCAGTCGTGGAAGAAGAGACGGAGGGTAGCGGCGGCGGTAGTAGGTGAAGTGATCTGTTTGTTTGTAGTGGTTTCTTGCATAATTTGTTCAAATCTTGGACATGATCTCCGGTAATAAGCAGTATTTAGCGGCGAATGGTGCTGTGATAAAGAAGGAGTTAAGATAACAGAGAAGCAAAGAAAAAGCAGAAGAGTTAAACCCATTTGCTCTGTTTTTCAGCTCAGTGTTTGAGAAGGGAAAGTTAATAGAAAAAAATGGCTAAAAAAAGGAGAGGGAAATAGGTAAATGGGGGATGGGAAATAGCTGGAGGGCTTCAATGGGGTCTTCATATTTCTCACTTCTCTTCATTCAATGATATATGTTTTTATTTTTTATTTAATGAAACATGTTCCTCTCTCATTTTCTTCCATAAGTCCAAGTGCTTTTCTGTTTACAACTCACTATATTTTCTTCTTTTAGCTACATTCAAAAACCCCTAAATACTCATTCATTCTAATTCATGTTATCTTTAAGCTTTGAAAATAAAATAATTAGATAATAAGATATTAGAGCTCTGAAAATATGAGGTGAAAATAAAAAGAAAAGAATATGTTTATTTTTTTAAATTTTAAATCTGAGACATCAGAATTCTCAATAACTTTATTGATCCTCAGAATATATCTTTAAACGTAGATATTTAATGTTTTAGTAGAATAAACCTCACCCTAGTGCACCAAGTATAATGTTTCTATGAGTTTAGAGGTAAATAAAATTAAGCTCTAAAATATTGTAAAAGGTTTAGGTTTTGTATAAAGTTTCCTATATAAGGATAAAGAAAAGGCATGGTGGGTATCATAAAATGAAAGGATATTCTAGTATGTGAATGAGACAGAAGGAAAGGAAATTGGTAAAGTAATTTTAAGTTGAGGTTTAAGCATATTCAAATGTCATCATTAAGCAGAAATAAAAAATGAAAAACAGTACTCCCTCCGTTCATATTTCTATTTCTTTTTAGTTTGTTTTAAAAATAATGTATTTTTTTTAGTAATATTTTAATTTTAATTTTCTTGTATGACATATTTAAGATCACAAAAATAAAAAACAATTTGATATATTTCACATAACTTTAATTTTAAACCAAAAATATAAAAAATCTTTTTACTTTTCTTAAACTTCATTTTAAATTAAATTAGGTCATTTTTTTTAAAACGATGGAATAACGAAAGAGAAGACATTGTCACATGAATGTGAAATTTATCAAGAGAATCCTATGAGTTGCATGAACCACCAATCACGGAATGGGTCCACATGTAAAAACCCGCTACTCTCGTCGGTGCTGTTACTGCATTTTGGCATTTTGGGTTGAGTTTTTTCTCGACTTGATGGCATGGCCATCAGACCAACCCCAAAAATTTCAAATGTTTATACTAAATCAATATATATATATATATATATATATATATATATATATTAATTTACTTTTCATGTTACTCTATTTAATCACGTAATAATAGATATTGTATTAATTTAATGTAAATATTAAAGGTGGGTAAATTTTTCCGAGGATCAACTAATACAATACAACAGTTAAGTAGGCGTTTGGTCATGTGATACCATATCACGATATTGTGTCGTGAGATGAAATCAGCATTTGAACATGTGATTTTAAGCTGATTTCATCTCATTAGATGTGTTACCATATTCTCCAAAAACCATGATATGGAATCATATGGAAATACCATATCATGATTTGAGTTATTTTAATATAAAAATTGATCCACGAATTTATATTTTATTAAAACAATCTACCATTTATATCTACTAACCATTTATTTCACAAGTAAATAAAATTTATAATCACATCATTACTTTTAAAAATGTATTATTCTTACCAACATATAGTAACTTTAACTCACACTTCACAATTGTTAAGTTATAAAATCTTGAAGATCTTGTGAAAGGTGTTTCATTTTTGCTCAAATATATTGATGAAATAATTACTTGAGTGGAGAATAAATAAATTTAATTTGTAATAATCTATTATATGATTTTATGATTTTTTATTTATTTAATAATATTGAATAACAATTGGAGGCATTTTTAATAGATTTAGAACTTATTGGATTTTTATGTTTATGAGAAAATATACAACACTAAAATTTCATATCGCATGTTCAAACAAAACATCAGTTTTATCTCATGATTCCAATATCATGATACCTTATCGCATGACCAAACGAGCCCTAGGAATCATAGCAATGCAATCTTTATTGATTACCCATTAAAATCTTATCCCTATTATAAACTAAAGTATATCATAGTAAAATTTTAAAGCGACAATATATACGTGTTATAAAAATTTGTATATTTCATATTGGACTAGTCGAGTGAGATATCATTAATAATGTAGTGCTTTGAACTTCGGATATAAAAAAATTCTTAAAATATATTATCTTAGAATAAAAGAGTCGATTTGCGAAAAACGAAATAAAAACTAAAAAAAGTTAGGGCGAGGGCAAAAGAAAAGAGATCCAACCATTTGAGGGTTTGGAGTTTGGGGTAGGGATAGGCGTCATTAGCAGAATGTAATCCAAGGGGTTAAGCTCTAATTAAAGTTGGTAAACATGTGATTTGTGACTTTCGAGTTGTACTTTTAATTTTAGAATTTTGTTGAAAAGAACATCAAATTAATTCTTTTCTTTTATTAGCAAAGCAAATATGGGACAGAGTATACATAGGAGAAATTAAGGACGGAGTCGGCGCCGTATGTGTCGCCCTTAATCACATGCTGCTTCTATTATTTTCTCTACTTTAGTTTTATATATCATTGATAAATATATATATTCATCTATTTTAAATAATGGATATGGTCTTTCACGTTATCGGGGATTATTTTGAAAAAACTTTAATTTTGTTTTGTCCTTCATTTAGGGTTCCTATTATTGTAGTTTAAATTAAAGATTGCGGGGTAGGATTCATTAAAAGCAATTCATATCACCGAATTAGTGGCTCTAGATAGTATAATCGTAGGCACTGCCCAAAAAGAATGTGCTATTTTATTACTGATTAATTCCGCTCATAACCTTCAACTAATTCATAGCTTATTTAAAATGACTTATAATTGAACCTTATTTCTTCTTTTTTTCTTCTTAATTGTCATTAATCTTACACTTTGTTTGGATCATTGTTACCCATTGTTTCATAATGTATTATATTGTATGGTGAATACAACGTTTGGCTAGAT